AAAAAAAAAAAAAAAAAAAAAAAAATGAAAAGAAAGCAAGCAGACGAGGAAAGTAGCTCATCCTAGAACCAGAAGCTAGGGCCTTTGGGGACAGAGAAAGAGCCTATGAAGGCCTCTTGGAGGAGAGACACCTACAGGGAAGTCTGAAGGGTGACTGGGAGTTAGCAGGCAGAACAGCCCAGGCAGAGGGAACAGCACATGCAGAGGCCCTGAGGCAGGATGTCTGAAGGACTGCACAGGGACATGTGACTGGAATAGAGTGGGAACATAAGGGGAGAATGGCAAGAAAGGAGGCTGGAGAGGTGGGAAGGGCCAGACTATGCAGTGAGGAATGTGCTTTGCTACCAAGCAGCAGGGTACTAGGGAAGTCTTTGGGCAGAGGGGAGGGATGACCTTAGAATATGCTTTGAGAAAGATCACTGCTGCCATCCTGTGCAAAAGCTGTGGCTGGAATTCAGGCAAAGGATCAAGTGGTTTTGGGAGGAGGCAGGGAGTGGGAGTGGGAAGCAGGCAGTGGAGAGGGAAAGCCAGGTTAGGAAGAGGCATAGGAGACAGAGTTGATAGGATTTGGGGATGGCTTGCATGGAATGAGGCAAAGAGGGAGGAACGAGGAAGACCCCAGAATCTTGGCTGGGGTGGTAGGTGGATGGCAGCGCCCCTCATAGAGATCCTGGGCAAGCTGTACCTCCACTCTGTCTTGGTTTTGTCATTGGTGGAGATAACACCCACCCTGATACCTGCTGGGCTGGGTGACTGAGGCAGTGAGGAACGGGCTTAGCACAGTGCCTGGCTCATAGTTGCTGCTGATAAAGGGTAGCTGGTGGGGGTGGGGGTGGGTATCTTGTTATTCCAGGGACCAGCCCTCCTGCTGCTTCTCCCTGTGGACTCTGTGCAAGGTCTGTCACCTACTCTGTGGCAGACTCTAAAGCATGCCTGAGGGCGAGCAGGGCTTTGGGGAATGCTAAAAGTAGCACCCCCACCCCCGGCTGGAGCAGAAAAGAGCCCTGAAGCTTCCTTCTCCACCAGTGCCCAAGGTGGGGCTGAGCCTCAGCTCTCATCTCTTCCCTTCGGCTGCCCTTGGATGGGAAGGACCCTTTCAGTTATCTGGGATGTTCCCATGATGCTCTGGGGCATTGATGCCTGACACTACCTTCTGCCACCCAACCACATTGTGACCCCTCTTCTCCTCTCTTCTTGCCTGCAGGTAACCTCCGAGGCTACGGCATGGCAACCCCAGGTCTCCCAGCCCCCAGCCTGACAGCCCCCAGCCTCACACCCCCGCAACTGGCTACTCCAAATTTGCAACAGTTCTTTCCCCAGGCCACTCGCCAGTCCTTGCTGGGACCCCCTCCTGTTGGGGTCCCCATGAACCCCTCCCAGTTCAACCTTTCAGGACGAAACCCCCAGAAACAAGCCCGGACCTCCTCCTCTACCCCCAATAGAAAGGTGAGTGGTGGCTGGGGTGGAGCAGGTGGGGATAGGAGTGGTTGGGAGGGGATGCTGGTGTCAGCCCCAGTGCTACCCGCTCTGGCTCAACCTGGACCTTCCGACAGGTCACACTCCCTTTATGCCTCAGTTTCCTCATCTGTAAAATGAGGGGAGCAGGGATGGACTTGTCTAGCATTTCCCAAATGTCAAATATTCTTGTATCTCTGATGGGATTTTTGCCATGCCTAAACACCACCAGTACTATCATTTATTTAATGTTTCTTTTTTATTTTTATTTATTTATTTATTTATTTATTTATTTATTTTTTGAGACGGAGTTTCACTCTTGTTACCCAGGCTAGAGTGCAATGGCGCGATCTCGGCTCACCGCAACCTCCACCTCCTGGGTTCAGGCAATTCTCCTGCCTCAGCCTCCTGAGTAGCTGGGATTACAGGCACGCACCACTATGCCCAGCTAATTTTTTGTATTTTTTAGTAGAGACGGGGTTTCACCATGTTGACCAGGATAGTCTCGATCTCTTGACCTCGTGATCCACCCGCCTCGGCCTCCCAAAGTGCTGGGATTACAGGCTTGAGCCACCGCGCCTGGCCTTTTATTTTTATTTATTTATTTTTTTTTAAAGACAGGGTTTCACCATGTTGGCCAAGCTGGTCTTGAGCTCCTAACCTCAAGTGATCCGCCTGTCTTGGCCTCCCAAAGTGCTGAGATTACAGGCATGAGCCACCACACCTGGCCAATGTTTCTTTTTTAGTTCATTTGTTTTTTGAAATGGAGTTTCGCTCTTGTTGCCCAGGCTGGAGTACAATGGTACAATCTCGACTCCCCGAAACCTCTGCCTCCCGGGTTCAAGCAATTCTCCTGCCTCAGCCTCCCGAGTAGCTGGGATTAGCACGCTCCACCATGCCTGGCTAATTTCGTATTTTTAGTAGAAACGTGGTTTCTCCATGTTGATCAGGCTGGTCTTGAACTCCCGATGTCAGGTGATCTGCTCACCTTGGCCTCTCAACCTGTTGGGATTATAGGCATGAGCCACTGCTCCCAGCTTAATGTTTTAAAATTATTGGGGTGGCTAGGCATGATGGCTCACGCCTGTAATCTCAGCACATTGGGAGGCTGTGGTGGGTGGATTATCTGAGGTCAGGGGTTTCAAGCCAGGCTGGCCAACATGGTAAAACACCTTCTCAACTAAAAATACAAAAAATTAGCTGGGCGTGGTGGCGAATGCCTCTAATCCCAGCGTCTTGGGAGGCTGAGGCAGTAGAAACACTTGAATCCAGGAGGCAGAGTCTACAGTGAGCTGAGATTGTGCCATTGTACTCCAGCCTGGGCAACAAGAGGGAAACTCCGTCTCAAAAAAATAAAATAAAATAAATAAATAAATAAATAATAAAAGCATCAGGGTATGATGATGTATGCCTATAATCCCAGGGATTTGGGAGGCTGAGGTGGGAGGATTCCTTGAGTCCAGGAGTTAGAGGCTGCAGTGAATTATGATCACACTACTGCACTCAAGCCTGGGTGACAAAGTGAGACCCTGTCTCGAAAAAAAGAAAAAAAATCGGCACTGCCTGGTGGAAATAAAATGCAAGCTGACCGGGCAAGGTGACTCACACCTGTAATCCTAGCACTTTGGGAGGCGGAGGCAGGTGGATTGCCTAAGCTCAGGAGTTTGAGACCAGCCTGGGCCACACAGTGAAGCTCTGTCTCTAAATAAATAAATAAATAAATAGATAGATAGATAGATAGATAGATAAATAAATAAAGCCATATATGTAATTTAAAATTTTCTGATAACCACATTATAAAGTAAAAAGAAATGGGCTAAATTAATTACTAGCTTATTTAACCCAATCCCATATGAAACTATTATCATTTCAACCTGTCATCAATATAAAAAATGAATGAAGCATTTTACATTCCTTTTTTCTTTCCTTTTTGTTTTTTGAGATAGAGTTTCACTTTTGTTGCCCAGGCTGGAGTGCAATGGCCCGATCTCCGCTCACTGCATCCTCTGCCTCCCGGGTTCAAGTGACTCTCCTTCCTCAGCCTCCCAAGTAGCTGGGATTACAGACTCCTGCTACCACACCTGGCTAATTTTTTTATTTTTAGTAGAGGCAGGGTTTTATCATGTTGGCCAGGCTGGTCTTGAAGTCTTGACCAGGTGATCTGCCCACCTCAGCCTCCCAAAGTGCTGGGATCACAGGCGTGAGCCATTGCGCTGGGCTACATTCCTTTTTTTAAAAAATACGAAATCTTCACAACCTGGTATGTATCTAATACTGACCTCTCAATTCAGCCCTGCCAATTTCAAGTGCTCTCCTGAGGCTGTGGCACGACTATGTGGGAGAGCATGGCTTTGAATGAGTGAGCGTCCTTTTGATTACATTTATTTTAAAAGGAAACATCATATTATAACCTGGCATTCTAAAAACTAAGTTAATTGCCATTCATAGAAGTGTAAGAAATTGCCGGGTGCTGTGGCTCACGCCTGTAATCCCAGCACTTTGGGAGGCTGAGGGGGGCGGGTCATTTGAGATCAGGAGTTTGAGACCAGCCTGGCCAACATGGTGAAACCCTGTCTCTACTAAAAATATAAAAATTAGCTGAGTGTAATGGCAGGTGCCTGTAATCCCAGCTACTCAGGAGACTGAGGTAGGAGAATTGCTTGAACCCGGAGACAAAGGCTGCAGTGAGCCAAGATCACGCCACTGCACTCCAGCCTGGGTGACAGAGTGAGACTCTGTCTCAGAAAAAATATGTGTGTGTGTGTGTGTGTGTGTGTGTGTGTGTGTGTGTGTGTGTGTGTGTGTTTGCGCATGCGCGCATGCAGTATAACTGAAGTAGAACAATGTTATAAAATTCTAAGCTATATGCTGTTGCTGGCTTAGGTTCCAGCCTGCAGCCCCCGGCTCCTTGCGTGTTTGAGAGGTGTTCGGCCTTCTCCTGCCATAAGCAGGAGATCTGCAAAGGGCTCACCTTTTCCCTAGACTGTCCTGTCCCTGTCCCTGAAGGTTCCGGCAGGCTCCTCGCTCACACCCTGCCCCTGGGTACATTCCAGGGCAGGGGCACCGCCCCCTTTGCTGGCTGCTCTGGGGTAGCCCACATCTGGAGTTGATGCCTTTTCCTCCAGAGAGGGGCCCCCTCTCCAGCCTTCCAATGGGCCAGTCATCACAGATCTGGTCTAGTGTCCAACCCACCCTGCCCTCACTTTATTACATACGGAAAAATCGAGGCTCAGAGATTGGGGTGGGGATGGTCCTGAGCCCCACAGCTGTCAAGGTGGACCCAGAGCCCAGGCCTCCTGACTCTCAGGCTGGTGCCTTTGTCGTGAAGGGTGACAGCTGGGTAGTTTCTGAAGGGCAGAGTCCTGATGTGTCCAGATTGCCATTCCCTGCTCAGTGCTCATTCCTTGGGCTTAGCAGGAGGGAGGGAGGGAGGCTGCAGGCTTCTGGTGGTTTGCTGGGGTGCCCTGGAACTGGCTAGAGAGAGCTGTGTGTTCATTTAGCCGACATCTGGAAGTCCCTGCAGGGGACTGAGTGGTGCGGATGATGCATCTGGCCTGGCCCTCCCTGAAGTCTTGGACAGGAATGGAGAAGGGTGGTGAGAGATATTACTGCAAATAATGCTCCAACCAATTAATTTAAGACTGTGGAGGCTGGGTGCGGTGACTCATGCCTGTAATCCTAGCACTGTGGAAGGCCAAGGCAGGAGGATCACTTGAGCCCAAGAGTTTAAGACCAGCCTGGGAAACACAGTGAGACCCTGTCTCTGTGGAAGAAAAAAATAATAATAATACAGAGATGCCACAAAAAGGAAGTGGAGTCTGGACCTATTCTGGAGTCAGGAGGGCTTCCTGCAAGAAGTGCTGCTGGGGCTCTAAGTGAAGGCCTGGGGGCAGGGACGGGCCTGGGGTTTGAGCGGAGAGAAGGCCAGGGTAGATAAACAGAGAGGGCTGGTGGTGGGGGCAGGGCTAGGGCAGGGAGTAAGCAGAGGCCAGGTTGTGCAGGGGAGGGGTGGGTGTGGGAGAGTGTTTTCAGGCTTGGTGTGAGGCATGCACCAGGGCTGCAGGAAGCCACAGGAGGGCTTTAAGCCTGAAAAAAGAGACATGATCAGGCTTGCATTTTAGAAGAACCTCACTGAGCCAGACATGGTGGCCCTCACCTGTAATCCCAGCACTTTGGGAGGCCGAGGCGGGCGGATCACCTGAGATCAGGAGTTTGAGAGCAGCCTGGCCAACATGGTGAAACCCCGTCTCTACTAAAAATACAAAAATTAGCCGGGCGTGGTAGCATGGGCCTGTAGTCCCAGCTAACTCCGGAGGCTAAGGCAGGAGAATTGCTTGAATCCAGGAGGTGGAGGTTGCAGTGAGCCAGGATCGCGCTATTGCACTCTAGCCTGGGCGACAAGAGTGAAACTCTCTCAAAAAAAATAAAAAAGAAGGATCCTACTGGCTACTTTATGGAAAACTGAGTGGGAAGTTAGGTCAGGAGGTAGCACTGTGGCCAGGAGAAGGATCATGTCCCCGAAACCTGGATTTATTTAACAGACAACTAGATGGAATCTCCTAGACACCACTGCTGGGGCATTTTTACTAAGATCATCACTCGGCAGCTCTGGGGCCAGCCCCACCAGAAATCCCCTGGGCCCCATCATCCCCTGGAGGATGGGGGCAGCCACCCTTAGGCAAGGAGGTATTGATAGAGGTGGGTATCAGATGTTAAAAATAGTTTCTTAAAGGAAGCAGGATTCTTATTCTCAGACAATGCCTGTGGAAGACAAGACAGACCCCCCAGAGGGGTCTGAGGAAGCCGCAGAGCCCCGGATGGACACATCAGAAGGTGAGGGAGGGAGGCTGCTGGCCCTTCAGAGGGACATGGATGGGGTGGGGGCTGGGCAGGTCAGCAGGTGATAGAGGCAGATGTGGGATACCAGGGTTCTTGGTGGGAAGGGGGTGAGCCCAGGCCCCATCTCATGGAGCTCAGAAATGTTCTCCCTAACATCTGAGCTCCCTTGCTCCTGCCTCCATTCCAGACCAAGATTCACCGCCCTGCCCAGAGGACATCGCCAAGGAAAAACACGCTCCAACACCCGAGCCTGAGCCTTGTGAGTTGTCCGAGCCACCAGCCAAGAGGTTGAGGAGGTAACTGATTCTGAAAACCTGACCTGGGCCTGGGTGCCCTGTGCTTTCAATCCTGCAAAGGCAGGGGTGGCAGTGGTAGAGGGAGTGTACCCTTCAGCAGAACTGGAGCCAGGAAAGGGCCTTGGCCTCTGACTTGGAGGAAGGCCATACTTATTTCCACACCAGACCTGGGGTTGCTCCAGGCCAGACTCTGGTGTCTTCCTTAGGACTGAGCCACCTGGAGGCCAAGCTGGGTGGCTGGGTGGGAGGGGTAAAGATGTTCTTCTGAGACTGTAAAGGGTGGGTTGTTTACAGATCCAGCTGGATACATGTCAGCAAGTTGTGGGAGTTGAGAATGACCCTCCCCGGTTTATTTAGGTGAAACCAAGGCCTAGAGAGCCAAAGGAGTTTGCCCAAATCCCCAGCTTGTAAGTGGTAGAGCCAGCATTAGAAACTGAGTCTTGGGCTGGGCACAGTGGCTCATGCCTATAATCCCAGGTAAAACTATGTTGAGACCAGGCTGGTCTCAAACTCCTAACTTCAAATGATCCATCCACCTCAGCCTCCCAAAATGCTGGGATTACAGATTCGAGCCACCATGCTCAGCCTAGTTTTGGCCTTTCTTGGGAGCCCCTCGGGCCTCTTTGAAGACATGTCTGGGATTTCTTTTTGATCCTTCCTAGCTCAGAAGAGGTCACAGAGAAGGGACCTCTGGGGCAGCTACAGGTGAAGGTCCAGCCACAGGCCCGGATGACAGTACCGAAGCAGACACAGACACCAGATCTGCTGCCTGAGCCCCTGGAAGCCCAAGTGCTGCCACGATTCCAGCCACGGGTCCTGCAGGTCCAGGCCCAGGTGCAGCCACAGACTCAGCCACGGATACCACCCACAAACAACCCGGTGCAGCCAAAGCTGCAGAAACAGGCACAAACACAGACTTCTCCAGAGCACTTAGTCCCGCAACAGAAGCAGGTGCAGCCACAGCTGCAGCAGGAGGCAGAGCCGCAGAAGCAGGTGCAGCCACAGGTACAGCCACAGGCACGTTCACAGGCCCCAAGGGAGGTGCAGCTGCAGCAGGAGGCAGAGCCACAGAAGCGGCTGCAGCCCCAGGCACATTCACAGCCCCCAAGGCAGGTGCAGCTGCAGCTGCAGAAGCAGGCCCAGACACAGACATATCCACAGGTCCACACACAAGCACAGCCAAGGGTCCAGCCACAGGAGCAGCCCCCAGTGCAGGTGCCAGTACAGCCACCAGAGCAGACTGATGAGCAGCCTCAGACCCAGCCACAGGTGTCGGTGCTGGCTCCAGAGCAGGCACCATTTGGGGTTCATGTCTGCGGGCTGGAGACGCCGCCTGATACAGTAGAAGCCGGTGGAGGTAAGTGAACACGGGCCCCCAGCTGGTTTGGTGATGGGACAGCTCTGCCCAGACCCTCCATTCCTCCCCTGATGCTGTCCAGCCCTGACTGGGTGCTGCCTGGGATCCATGCTGGGGGCCTCCAGGTTCTGGCTGTGGAGGGAGAAGGCAGCTCTTGGGCCTGGGGTGGGTGGAAGACGCACTCTAGGAAACAGAGCACATCTGTCGTTTCAGGCATGGAAAAGACCTTGCCAGAACCTGTGGGCACCCAAGTGAGCGTGGAAGAGAGCCAGAAGGAGCCAGCCAGTGGCCTAGATGTCGGAGAATGTGAAAACAGAGTGAGAGAGATGCCGGGGGTGGGTAGAGGCACTGATGTGGCAGTGTGAGGCCACATAGCCCATTGGGGTAGGATGGTCTCTTTCTGCCCCAGGCAACCTCGGGGCCTCCTTGTGTTTCCCTGACCATGAAATGGGATGACGGCCCTCGGCCTAGGATGGGGGGCAGAACAGGCTGGGCTTGATAGCGTTTGGTCTGGATGGGACCCTCTTGCTGTTGTGCTGTCTTCACATCCATCCCTTCCAGCCTGCCCATCCCCAAGCCAGAGCCCCAGTCTCCTCTCATGAGTAATGTTGCTCTCGTGGTGGAAGCCTCTCTCTGGGGTTTCAGTCCCAGCTCTGCATAACTGGGGGCAAACCCATCTCCTTCCATGAGTCTCAGTTTCCCCATCTGTCATACAAGAGGTGGGATGGGTGATACTTTAGAGTTAGGACAACCTGGGTTCCCATCCTGACTGCAGTGTTTTCTAGCTGTGACCTAACAGCTCAGAGCCTCAGTTTCCCTGTCAAGAAGATCTGATGAGACAGTGTTGGTAGATGTTGGGTGCTGGGCAGGCCCACTGTAAGTACACAGTTGATGGAAGCTCAGCTCCTGCTCCTGGTGCAGGTGTGGGGTGCTGGGGGCTCCCTGAAGGTCACCATTCTGCAGAGCAGTGACAGCCGGGCCTTTAGCACTGTACCCCTGACACCCGTGCCCCGTGCCAGTGACTCTGCCTTCTCCACCCCTGTGGCTACCAGCACGCCCTCTAAGCAGACCCTCCAGTTCTTCTGCTACATCTGCAAGGCCAGCTGCTCCAGCCAGCAGGTACTGATACAGGAGATAAGGGTGGGGAGGGGTGGGGCCTCCATGGAATGGCCAGCCTGCTCTCCCAAGGCTGCCTCAGGCTGCACTGGGCCCTGCCCTGAGCAGCCAAGCATTTGCTTGGAAACATTTCCTGATCAGCCAAGAAGGCAGGTTTTGGCGGTTTTGTTTTTGTTTTTGTTTTTGTTTGAGACAGAGTCTTCCTCTGTCTCCCAGGTTGGAGTGTAGTGGCATGATCTCAGCCCACTGTCCTCTCGGGCTCAGGCAGGTTTTGAGAGTCAGGCAGACCGGATTCATATCAGCTCTGAGTGGCTGTGGGCCCTTGGAAAACGAATTCCGCCCCATGCCTGTTTCCTCTTGCATCAGACAAAGAAACTTAGAGCCAGGCCTGATGGCCCATGCCTGTAATCCCAGTACTTTGGGAGGCTGAGGCAGGCGGATCACCTGAGGTCAGGAGTTGGAGACCAGTCTGACCAACATCGAGAAACTCCATCTCTACTGAAAATACAAAGTTAGCTGGGGGTGGTGGCACATGCCTGTAATCCTAGCTACTTGGGAGACTGGGGCAGGAGAATCCCTTGAACCCAGGAGGCGAAGGTTGTGGTGAGCCGAGATTGTGCCATTGCACTCCAGCCTGGGCGACAGAGCGAGACTCTGTCTCAAAAAAAAAAAAAGAAAAGAAACGTTTTAGAACTTACCTTATTGGATGGTTTTGGGGATTCAACGACTTGACGCTGGAGTCCTGAGTGCAGGCCTGGCCCAAAGTGAGTGTAGCAGTAATCGTGATCGCATTGTGCTTGTATTATTACTAGTCTGGTGCTGTGAGCTCTGTTACTCTGTGCCTCACCTGGCAGAGCCTTGGAGGCCTGGATGCTAACCAGGCTGCTCTTTGTCTTTGAGGCACTCACACATTCTCTCTTTTTCTTTTTATTTTAAACATTTAAAAAAATTTTTAAGACGGGGTTTCACCATGTTGGTCAGGCTGATCTTGAACTTCCGACCTCAGGTGATCCGCCCGCCTTGGCCTCCAAAGTGCTTGGATTACAGGCGTGAGGCACCATGCCCGGCCTCACTCACACGTTCTCTAGGAGGGGTAGAATCTCAGGCTGGCGTGTACTGCGTGTCTCAGTTCATCATGGCTGCTCTAGCCCACACGAGAGAAATGTGTGGTGAGAGAAATGAGCTCACGATGAGGTTGGGGTCTGCCTCGCCAGGCCCCACCCTTGCCCACTGTCCCAGGCTCATGCCCCAGGCCCATCCCCCACTCCCTCCTGCTGCAGGAGTTCCAGGACCATATGTCGGAGCCTCAGCACCAGCAGCGGCTAGGGGAGATCCAGCATATGAGCCAAGCCTGCCTCCTGTCCCTGCTGCCTGTGCCCCGGGATGTCCTGGAGACAGAGGATGAGTGAGTGGGGGACCGTGGAAGCTCTGCACTGGGGGGGCAGGCAGTCTCGTCGGCCAAGGCCTGCATCTGCCGTCTGTAGGGTCTGCCTTTGGGTTAAGCGTTGCCCTCCCAGCCAGGCCTTGTCATACTATTAACTGGGTGACCTTGAACCTCAGTTTTCCCTGTCTGTAACAGGGCTTGGTGAGGGATGTAGTGCAGGAATTCATGACAGTCACTTAAGTTTCCCTCTACGCAGGAACAGCATGACTATCCCTGTGGAAGAGGACAGGTTGTGGCACAGACCCCTGTCCCCTGCGGCATGTGTGCTGACCCCACCGTGGGGTGACAAAGCTGAGGATCAAGTTCTTTTCTGGTGGGAGGTCAGGGCTTCCCTGTGTCTCCCCCTTTCATTGCCGGGGTTGCCTGTTTAATCAGAAACTTCAGCCCTCCTGGGGTCTGGAACTAGAGTGGTGTGAGAAGGCCTGGCCCGCAGCTGGAGGTACTTTCAGGACCCTGTGGGCAGTCGAAGAGGTGTGCAAGGGCTGGGACATGTCATCACAGCAGCAGGACCATGTTAGCTAGGGACACAGCAGGGACACAGACTCTATCTCATGAGACAGCTGCTTCTCAGGCTCCGGATCTCTTCATTTTTAAGAAGAATCCAGAAGTCCAGGTTTGTATGTGAAATCTCCCAGTTTCAAAATGTTAACAGCTAGTTCAGAATTGAAACAAAGTAAATCAAACACTTTCATAGACTAGATAGTCCCTCGAGTCAGTGGTCACTGGTGCTGTCCTGATTTTACAGAGGTCACAATTTGAAGCTCCCCTGGTGGGCCGAGGGGACAGGAAGGGCTTTTGGTTGGCCTCTGCTTGCCTGCCTTATGGGACAGGAAGGGCTCTTGGTTGGCCTCTGCTTGCCTGCCTTATGTGACAGGGAGCTCCCTCTCTGCAAGGGCAGCTCGTGTCTCTGTTTTAGCTGTTTCTCACATTAAGAAGAGTGACCTTGAGTGGTTTTCTCCTTGGGTGAAATAATCATAAACACGGGAGAATGATGACTCACCAAGATGTTCTTTGCAATTAGTATTATGCTGAAAAAATCTAACTGGAAATGATCTAAAATACTCAAAAGTAGGGGATTGGTTAGATCGGTTAAAGCTTGTCCAGCTATGGAATAATGAATAACTAGGACAACTGAGGAATTTGTAATAATGTAGAAAGGTGATGCAATGTCAAAGTAAGACAAGATTCAGAATTGCATCTGCAGAATGAGCTTGTCTGTATAAAAATAGATCTTGTGGCTGGGCGCAGTGGCTCCCGCCTGTAATCCTAGCACTTTGGGAGGCTGAGGTGAGTGGATCACCTAAGGTCAGGAGTTCAAGACCAGCCTGGCCATCATGGTGAAACCCCATCTTTAAAAAAAAAAAAAAATAGATCTTGTGACACAGAAGAAAACTAAAAGGACACACATGGCACAAGCTGTTAACAAGCTTCAGGTGTCGGGGATTCAGCAAACCCTCTCCAAATGATGTCCCCCCATGACATCTTCTCTTAAATCCTACTTGGCCCCAAGGCCATCAAGAACATCATGGTCTATAGGTGAAGGGGAGGAAGGCAGCAGATCACACTGCCATGTGTGTACCTATGCAACGATCTTGCATGTTCTTCAAATGTACCCTGAAACCTAAAATGCAATAAAAATTAAAAAAAATAAAAAGAACATCATGGTCAAGTACAGTGGCTCAGGCCTGTAATCCCAGCACTCTAGGAAGCTGAGGCGGATGGATCGCCTGAGGTCAGGAGTTTGAGACCAGCCTGGCCAACACCGCGAAATCCCCTCTCTATTAAAAATACAAAAATTAGCTGGGCACTGTGGTGTGCACCAGTAGTCCCAGCTATTCAGGAGGCTGAGGCAGGAGAATCGCTTGAACCAGGAGGCAGAGGTTGCAGTGAGCCAAGATCGCGCCACTGCATTCTAACCTGGGCGACAGAGTGAGACTCCATCTCAAAAACAAAACAAAACGAATAAAACCCTCCAGTCCCTACCTACGACAACCTCACCTTGGTTCCCAACACGAAGACATTAATACTGTCCTCCTGTATCAGTGGGGGTTCTTTGCAGTTATAAGTGACGAAAATTCTAATTTCTATAAGACAGAAATTAACTTGAGCAAAAAGAAGCAATGTTTCTGGCTTAGGTAAGTGGGAAGGCAAGAGATACAGCTGGACCCAGGGGACACCATTTCTTAGAGAAGCTTCATCTCTCACTACAGTGGGCACCGGGTGCCCACAGCCCCAGCCTCCCTGCACGGTAACCTCCAAGGAAGGGCAGTCACCTGTGTCTGCAGTAGCATAACCGTTTCTAGGGAAAATGCTGGTGGATCTGGTTGTGGTCACTTGCACGTTTCTGAAGCAATCCCCTAGCCAGGGATGGGGTGTTCTGACTGGCTAGGCCTAGACAGGCCAGCTCTATTCAAACCACATGGAAATGCATTTCCCCATGGAAGGCAACGGGGTGTTTCCAGGAATGGGGCTGAAGGGTGGATCCTAACACCCTAGCTGGTGGAGGTGCCCCACTCCTCCTTCCTCAAAGCCCACAGGGTAGGTGCTGTGAATACACCCTTGCCTACCTTGGCCATTTCTTTTTTTTTTTTTTT